GCGCCGCATTGGCATGGTCATGGATGTCGCTCGTACGTCTATGATGCATGCGGCTGCTCCCCATTTTCTGTGGCCGTTTGCGGTGAGGTACGCGGCGCATCAGATCAACCTACACACCAGGGTCTCCAGGGCGGAGACCTCCCCAGCCTTGCTGTGGACGGGGAAGGTTGGCGATGCGTCGGCGTTCCTTGTCTGGGGATCTCAGGCGTTTGTCCGCGACTTGTCTGCGGACAAGCTGTCCCCTCGCGCTGCTCCCTGCGTCTTCCTGGGGTTCCCCCCTGACGCGCCTGGGTGGCCGTTCTACCACCCCACCTCTTGCCGTGTTCTGTCCTCCCAGGACGTCACGTTTGACGAGTCAGTCCCCTACTACCGCCTCTTCCCCTACCGCACTCCGTCCCCCCCCCCCCCGCCGCCGCTCTTCCTTGTACCAGGTCCCCCCCCGGTAGACCCCCTCCCCCCTCAGGGTCCTGCCCCTTCAGGTGTGTCCGAGGTAGACGCAGTCGAGCCTGTCGAGGTTTCTGGTGACTCTAGTGCTGCTGGGGGTGCTGAGCCTGGGGGTGCTGAGCCTGGGGGTGCTGCGACTGGGGGTGCTGAGCCTGGGGGTGCTGAGCCTGGGGGTGCTGAGCCTGGGGGTGCTACGCCTGGGGGTGCTGTGCCTGGGAGTGCTCCACCTTGGGGTGCTGAGCCTGGGGGTGCTGGACCTGGGGGTGCGGAGCCTGGGGGTGCGGAGTCTGGGGGTGCTGAGCCTGGGGGTGCGGAGTCTGGGGGTGCTGAGCCTGGGGGTGCTGAGCCTGGGGGTGCTGCGTCTGGGGGTGCTGAGCCTGGGGGTGCTGAGCCTGGGGGTGCTGAGCCTGGGGGTGCTGAGCCTGGGGGTGCTGAGCCTGGGGGTGCTGAGCTTGGAGGTGCTACGCCTGGAGGTTCTCCGGTTGCTTCGTCTCTGCGGGAGCCACTCTCTCCACAGGAGCTGCGCGAGTGGTTTGCCCGGCGCTGGAGCCGTGCTGCTGGTGCTGGAGGTTCTTCGACTTCTGAGGGTGCTGCTGTCGCGGGTCCCGGAGGTGCTCGTACTGGGAGTACTGGAGCTGCTGGGCCTACGGGTTCGACTGGAGCTGGTGCTGCTGAGGGTGTTGGCGCTCAGACTACCGCTGGCGGTCCTGCTGGGGGTACTCCTGGTGTTGCTAGAGGTTCTGGAGCTATTGGAGGTGCTGCTGGAGCGGGTGCTCCTGCTGGGGGTACTGGTGCCGTCCCTGCTGTATCTGGCGTCGCCACGTGGCCTCGACCGTACTTTGTTCCACTCCTGCAGTAGGTTCTTGGTCTTCCACCTTCTACTGGTCCTCCTCCTCCCTTAGAGTGTCCACAGCCTGTCCCGTCACAGTTACAGTTGCAGCCTACCTCCCCTTTGCCTGCTCCTTCTCCCTACACTTGTCCTACTGGAGGTCTTGCTGAGCGTCGTGAGCCTGCGTCTCGCCCTACGTCGCCTGTTCGTGCTGCTCGCGCTAGTGGTCGTGGTTCGCGTCAGTGTCCTCCTCCTGTCCCTGGCATGCACCGGATGTCTCTGCGTCCGTCCACTGCTCCTCTGCGTGCCCCTTTGCCTTCTCCTCCTGAGTCCTCTCTTCCTGCTCTTGTCGACCCGGAGTCGGACTCTCTTCGTGCTGCCAGTCCTACTATCACGCGTCCCCTGGCTACTGTCGTCACTGACCCTTCTTTTGAGTCCACTGCTGCGTCTGCCCTAGTTGCTGAGCTCGTCGACTTTGCTGCTCGCTGTCGCCTAGACTACGCTGCTAGTCTTGTAGCTGAGTCTGAGTCTGTCTGTCCTCCGTCCGTCGGGGGTGAGTGTGCCCTTGGCACGGACGTCCTTGAGGACAGGCAGGAGGAGTTCCAGTGTCTGGCAGCTGCTTCACCTCATCTCGTGTCCGTACTGCTTACCCTTGAGGGAGACCCGGATGCACTTGGCATCCCGACTCCGCGCTCCTACGCGGAGGCGATAGAGGGTCCCTACTCCTCTCAATGGCAGGCAGCTATGGACACAGAGATGGCTTCCTGGAAGTCCACAGGCACCTATGTTGACGAGGTTCCCCCGCCTGGGGCGAACATCGTCAGTGGCATGTGGATCTTCAGAGTGAAGCGGCCGCCGGGTTCTCCGCCTGTCTTCAAGGCACGTTACGTGGCTCGTGGCTTCAGTCAGCGGCAGGGAGTTGACTACTTTCAGACCTTCTCTCCCACCCCGAAGATGACCACTCTTCGGGTACTGCTGCACGTTGCTGCTCACCGTGACTACGAGCTGCACTCTCTCGACTTCAGCACTGCTTTCTTGCAGGGCAGCCTGCACGAGGAGATCTGGCTGCGCCGCCCACCTGGCTTCACTGGGTCGTTCCCTCCTGGTACCCAGTGGAGTCTCCGGCGTCCAGTCTACGGTCTCCGCCAGGCGCCACGTGAGTGGCACGACACACTGAGGACTACACTGGCGGCACTTGGGTTTGCTCCTTCTACTGCCGACCCGTCGCTGTTTCTGCGCACCGACACCTCTCTGCCGCCGCACCATTACCCTGACTCAGTCACACATGGTGCAGCAGGTCCTTCAGCGCTTCGGCTTCACGTACTCCTCGCCTCAGGCCACTCCTCTGCCTACTCGCCACTCGCTCTCAGCTCTGCCTTCGGATGAGTCCGTAGAGTCGAGTGGCCCGTATCCAGAGCTTGTTGGCTGCCTCATGTACCTGATGACCTGCACACGACCTGACCTTGCATACCCTCTTAGCATTCTCGCACGCTATGTTGCTCCTGGGAGACACCGACGAGAGCACATGGCTGCAGCGAAGAGGGTGTTGCGCTACTTGTGCAGTACGTCGGGCATGGGGCTAGTGCTTGGAGGGCGCAGTCCAGTGGTCCTCACTGGGCACGAAGACGCTTCTTGGGGGGACGACCAGGCTACGCAACGGTCGTCACAGGGTTACACCTTCAGTCTTGGTTCCGGCTCTGTCTCGTGGCGGGCTACTCGCTTGTCATCTGTTCTCGGCTCCAGTTGTGAGGCTGAGATCTACGCAGGGGCCATGGCTGCACAGCAGCTTCGCTGGCTCACCTACCTGCTGACTGACCTCGGAGAGCCGCCACGTTCTCCTTTAGTACTGTACGTAGACAACAAGGCCATGCTGGCCTTGTGTCGGGAGCAGAGACTGGAGCACAGAACAAAGCACATTGCTCTCCGCTACTTCCTTGCTCGTGAGCTACAGCAGCGTGGTCAGTTGCGGCTTGCGTACGTGGCCTCCGAGGCCAACACTGCTGATGTCTTCACCAAGGCACTTGCGCCTTGTGATCATCAGCGCTTCTGCACCCAGTTGGGTCTTGTACCTGTCTTGCCTCACTTGCTCACCTCTTGACCTTGTTTGTACTGTTACATATATATATACCTGCTCTTGCTTGTCTAGCCTTATATATATATGTACTCCTGCATGTGAACTGGCCTTGTGGCCTTGTACTTGTGCTCGGAATGTGTGGTGACTTTGTGATCCACCCTGAGCTTTGCTTTGTTTTGCTTTGCTTGACTGGTCTTGTGACCCCCTGTTCTCCCCCACTTTGCCTATGGGGGTGTGTCAGAACATTATAGCTTATGCTTTTGTGTAGGCTGTAGTGGGGTATCCCATAGGGGGTACAGCCCAATTAGGGTTAGTACTTGTACCCACTTCACTCATAGTTCATTTTTTCTCGTTCTCACTTTCTCAATACCCTGCTGTGTGCTTTCATTACTCAATCCAATTCCATTTCTCTCATTCTGCTTCCAACCATTTTGGTACAAGTCTTCCAGCCTTGCTCTTTCTACAATCTAGCTTCCGCAACGCCGGCATCATGCCTTTCTAGCAGTTCCCCCCCGGACGGCCGACGACACCCTCTTGTCGCACGACCGGTTGGGACTGGACGGTCGTCAAGTCGTCGCAGAGCCTGTCGGACGCGAACCCTCTACAGAGTGCTTCGCGATCAAACATTTGATATTCTCTAAAAATTGCTATGAACAACGCAGTGTTTTCTGGCACCAAAAAATGGGTCGACCAATCGGCGAACATGTTCCTCCTCTGATGCAGGAACCAATACCAGACGACCGCATCCCCTGTTAATCAGGAGCCAACCGTTGACCCTGGAATTGGCGGGTGGCCATGAGATCCAGATGTGGAAACCGGGTGACCCGAGTAGTGGATTCAGCTCAAGGTGGGGCTTCAAAGCCGGTTGACACCCTCATTCTGATTTTTTTTTTTTTTTTTCTTGTTCACGTTTTTCATGATGGCCAATGCGAGGTCCTCCAAGTGCTCATGCACCCGCTTCATCTATTTTTTTCCGCTAAGTCCTCAACGCCCCACCCCTAGCACGTATCACCTCCCACAGCAGCCCTTGTAGAAAGTCTGCAGACCGTCGTGCTCCTCGATCCGGTTTTTTGTAGACGATGAGTTTTGGCCGCCTCCCTTTTTTTTTAGGGCGGCCCGACCGTCCAATTTGTCAATTATAGATTTAAACATAGGTTCTGCAACTCGTCCCGAAATCGAGACAGGCAGCTGTAGAAGCATCTTGAGAGCATTTATGCAACACGCTAGATTAGAAGGTTCTGAATGTCCTATATGATACGCTTGTCTACCAGAGAGCGCTATCTAGACAGCACCGTTAGGTCATCCTCTACTGTAACACTTGTCCGTAATTGTGATCTGCATACTAATTTAAGCGGATAGAATCGTCTAGTTAGAATCGGATACTCTTCGACGACAGTCAGGTTCACAATGGCTCTACAGTGTCGCGTGAGTCTTTTTCTTTACTGATCCATCCATGACGTAGTTTACGTTTGCTTAATCATCAAAACCGCTGATGCGCGACCACGTACATCTTTTGTGTTGAAGTTGTCCGACCACTTAGCGTTAGTAGCGATACCCATTTAGGTAGTTTCGTTTTCGCATGCACAATGCAGTTTGGCGAACCCATATGACGTTTACCTAGTTAGGCGCGATTTTCTTTATCCGTAGTGCACAATGTCCACAGATGGGATCGATTGGCTCCTACTTTTTTGGCGACAACTTGGCGGGTGCGACGTCAAGGACGACGACGAATTAACGGACGCCGAAGATGACTATGCGCAGGATGCAGCCAACGATCTCATCTACGATTGCAATGTTGAAGACGACTACTACGAAGCTGCAGAGGCTCCCGAAGAAGTCGTAGAAGAGGGTAGCGCGGCTGCTGAAAACGAGGGAGGCCGGGAACCGTTTGTAGTGGCAAGGGACGGTGGAGAAGAGGGAGTCTTGGAAGCAGGTGCAGAGGAAGCGGACGATGAAGAGACGGAGTCGGAATATGGCGACCCGATCGAGAACGAAGGAGAACGGAAGGCAGACAAAGGGGATGGTGAAGAGGATGAAACCGAGTACATGGACGCCATCCAAGGAGACGTCGATGATGACAGATCGGACGATGAAGACGATGAAGAGACGGACACCGATTTTAGCGACGCCAGTGATGAAGACATGGAGGAGGGGGAAAGCGATGAGGAGGGTCAAGGGGGTGAGAGTTCAAGCCACCACAGAGCTTCTGAGGGTGTAGGTGTTGTGCAGTCAAACACCACTCGGCCGTCTCAAGGCCAACGATCATCTGCAGGGGACCAACAACCTTCGCAAGGCCAACGATCTGCGCGACGCCGACGACGCTGGCGGGGCCGACGATCCACGCAGAGACAACCACCTTGGCACGGCCAAGACGATGAGAATTCAAGCCACACTCGTCGTCCCCTCTTTAGCGAAGAGGCCAGCTCCCTTGGGAGCGATCCACCGCAGAGCGACGCCGAGAAAGATCACAGGAAAATGCTCGCTGCCGTGCATGTCGACGGGTTAGCCGCACAGACCAGAGCACAGTACGCCTGCAACTGGCGCCATTACAAGCGATGGGTTACAATAATGATGATGACTCTGCTTGCAGACGTGATTCCAGAGTGTCAGATTTATATGACATAGCTGCTGTAGGCTATAGTGGGGTAGCACATATGGGGTACAGCTTTCTAGGGTTTGTACTTGTACCCAACTTTCCCTTAGTCATTTCATTCTCGTTCAATTTCACATGGTATAGAGCAGGTTCCCCTGTGGGAACTGTTCCTAGGGCCCACCAACTTTTGTTTCCTGCCCGGAGCGCGCTCAGACTCTGCTCGAGTCGCGCTTCCCTCTCACGACCCCGTCGCGCCGCCTCAGCGGCCCCGTAGCGTCGCGCCTCCCTAGCGGCCCTGTTGTGTCGCCCTTGCGACCCCGTCGCGCCGCCCTCGCGGCCCCGTCACGTTGCGCCGCCCTAGCGGCCTCGTCGCGCCGCCCTCGCGGCCCCGATCCGCCGCCCTCACGGCCCCGTCGCGTCGCACCGCCCTCGCGGCCCTTTCGCGCCGCCCTCGCGGCCTTTTCGAGCCGCCCTCGCGACCCCTCCTAGTCGCCCTAGCGGCTCCGTCGCCCCACCCTCGCGGCCCCGGCGCCGCTCTTACCGGCCCAGGCGCCGCCCCTACCGGCCCCTTACGGCCCCTTTGCGGCCCACCATCGCCGCCTCCAGCAGCGGCCGCCGCCGTCCCTGCAGCAGCAGCCACCGCCGCCAGTCCCTGAAGCAGCAGCCGCCGTCGCTGCCTCCTACAACAGCGCCGCCTCCTGCAGCGGCGACCGCCGCTGTACCTGCAGCAGCCGCGCCGCCCGAGCTGCCGAGCCGCCTGAGCTGCCGAGCCGCCCGAGCTGCCGAGCCGCCGTTCCAACCGAGCCGCCCGAGCCGCCGAGCCGCCCGAGCCGCCGAGTCGCCGAGCCGCCGAGCTACAGATGCTGCCGAGCCGCCGAGCCGCCCGAGCCGCCCTGTCCGGTAAGAGCGGCACCTCTACCACTGCGCTGCCCTTAGCCTACTGCTCGCGGTGCTAGTCTACTGCTGTCATGGCTACCCCCACTGTCCTCGCTTTTGACGCTGATGGTCGGGCCATTGACTTTGACGTCTGGGTAGATGACCTGCAGCTTTTCCTACAGTGCGATAGGGCAGACGGTCTCTCCCTCTTTGACCTCACTTCTGGTGCCTCTCCTGCCCCTGCTGCTGATGCTGACGCCACTGTTCGCTCACAGTGGGCCACACGCGATGCTGCTGCACGTCTTGCTGTGCGTCACCACTTGCCTACCTCTGAGCGTGCGCACTTTAGCCAATACAAGAGTGCTAAGACCTTGTACGACGCTGTAGTTGCACGCTACTCTTCCCCTGCCACTGGTGCACTTAGCCGCCTCATCCTGCTGTACCTCTTCCCTGACGTCGCAGCTTTTCCCACAGTCGCCGACCTCATTACACACCTTTGCACTAGTGACATTCGCTACCGCGCTGCCCTTCCCGCTGAGTTCTGCGCCAAGAACCCCCCCCCTATGTACATCACCCTCTACTACATAGTCACCCGCCTCCCTAACACCCTTCGCCCGGTCAGGGACCACTTTCTCTCTGTTTGCCCCAACACCCTCACAATTGACCTCCTCGAGGAGCACCTCCTAGCAGCAGAGAAGAGCATAGTCGCTGTAGGAGCCTCTCGTGGTGACCCTCGCGCCCCTGTCTTTGAGGGGTGGTCCCCCTCTCCTCTCTTGCCCTCTGTTGCCTCTGCTGCTGCGGCCGACCTCGTTGGTCTTGAGTCGGTCGGTGCGGCGTCTACCCCTTGCGGGAGACGCCGCCCTGGCAAGGGCAAGGGGGGCAGGGGTGTTGGAGGAGCTAGCGGGGGCCGTGGAGGCGGCGGTGGAGGCGGCGGAGGGAGTGGGGGTGGCGGTGAGGGTGGTGGCGGGGGTGGAGGTGTCGGTGGCGGCAGTGGAGGCGGAGGCGGCGGCGGCGGTGGCGGTGGGAGCGGAGGTGGAGGAGGTGGCGGCGGTGGAGGAAGCGGCGGCGGAGGAGGTGGAGCTGGTCGGGGTGGCGCTGCGCAGAGGGTCGGCTCCGGTGGTGGCCACCGCCAGCAGTAGCAGCAGCATCAGCAGCAGCAGCGCACTCGTGACATCCCCCCCCCTCAGCAGCTTCGTGAGTGGTACGCTGCACGCCAGCGGGGTGGGGGTACTGGTCCGTGCACCTACGTCCTACGCACCGGCGACCGCGTGGGTGAGCAGTGCGGGGGTGCGCACTCCACCCAGCGCTGCTTTGGCCACCTGACGGACGCTTGGCGTCACCAGTTCCCTGAGGCCACTGAGATCCCTCGCTGGGGTGAGCTGTCTAGGGCGGGAGTAGCTATCTTTTACCTTGACTTTGATGCTATTCTTGCTGCCATGTATGCTGTGACTATTAGTGATGAGGGTGACTGTTACCGGTGTTTTCCGCCCGACCCGGGCATTGCGACTGCTGCTCTAGGTACTGGTGAGGCTGCTGCCCTAGGTGCTAGCGAGGCTGCTGCTCTAGGTGCTAGTGCATCTGCTTCCTCAGGTACTGGTGAGTCTGCACTCTCAGGTACTGCGTCCGCTTCGGCCTCCCACACCTTCACCCTTGACTCGGGGGCTTCTTGCTCCTTCTTTCGAGACCGCACCACACTCACGCCGCTTGATCGGCCAGTTGCAGTCTCTCTGGCAGACCCCTCTGGGGGTCCTGTCCTTGCTCACTTCTCCACTGTCCTCCCGTGTCCGGCGGCCCCCTCTGGCGCCCTGTCTGGTCTTTACCTCCCCTCGTTCTCTACGAATTTGGTGAGTGGTGCTGACCTACAGGACGCGGGGGCTCACCAGTTCACTCCTGCGAGCCAGCGGGTGACCCACTGCACGGACGCTCGGACGGGCTGGCACTTGGCCACGTTTACACGTCGGCTGGGGTCGAGCCTGTACACACTGACCACTGAGTCTCCTCTACTCACTGCGTCTGGTCAGGTAGCTGCGTCGGGTCAGGTGTTTGCTGCAGTGTCCACGTCTGGTCCTGAGTCTACCCCTTGCTCATGTCGCCTCCTGTTTCACGAGACTCTCCTCTGGCACCACCGCCTTGGTCACCCCTCCCTACTTCGTCTCCGAGGCATGGCCTCCCGTGTCCTTGTCTCTGGTCTTCCCCGGTCCCTCCCTCCCCTTCCTCCGGGGCCTGCCCCTACCTGCGTCCCCTGTGTCGAGGGGCGGCAGCGACTGCCCCTCACTCCTCCCAGTTTCCTCCGACAGAGGCCCCGCTGCAGACGCTTCACATGGACGTGTGGGGCCCGGCCCGCGTCCGTGGACAGGGCCACGAGCGCTACTTCCTGCTGGTGGTTGACGACTACTCGCGTTACACCATAGTCTTCCCCTTGCGCAGCAAGGGTGATATCACTGAGGTGTTGATCGACTGGATCCGCGCAGCTCGTCTCCAGCTCAGGCAGAGCTTCGGCTCGGACTTTCCTGTTCTGCGTCTGCACTCTGATAGAGGAGGAGAGTTCTCCTCTGGCCTTCTGCGAGCCTACTGTTGTGCACGAGGCATCCGCCAGACCTTTATGCTTCCGGACTCTCCACAGCAAAATGGGATTGTTGAGCGCCGCATTGGCATGGTCATGGACGTCGCCCGTACGTCCATGATGCATGCGGCTGCCCCCCATTTTCTGTGGCCGTTTGCGGTTCGGTACGCGGCGCATCAGATCAACCTTCAGCCCAGGGTCTCCATGCCGGAGACCTCCCCAGCTTTGCTGTGGACGGGGAAGGTTGGCGATGCGTCTGCGTTCCGAGTCTGGGGATCTCAGGCATTTGTCCGCGACTTGTCTGCGGACAAGCTGTCCCCTCGTGCTGCTCCCTGCGTCTTCCTTGGCTTCCCCCCTGACGCGCCTGGGTGGCAGTTCTACCACCCCACCTCTCGCTGTGTTCTGTCCTCCCAGGACGTCACGTTTGACGAGTCGGTCCCCTACTACCGTCTCTTCCCCTACCGCACTCCGTCCCTCCCCCCGCCACCGCTCTTCCTTGTGCCAGGTCCCCCCCTTGTAGACCCCCTCCCCCCTCAGGGTCCCGCCCCTTCAGGTGTGTCCCAGGTAGACGCAGTTGAGCCTGCTGAGGTAGCTGGTGACTCTGGTGCTGCTGAGGGTGCTGAGCTTGGGGGTGCTGACTCTGGGGGTGCTGAGCGTGTGGGTGCTGCGCCTGGGGGTGCTGAGCCTGAGGGTGCTACGACTGGGGGTGCTGGGCCTGGGGGTGCTGAGTCTGGGGGTGCTGAGCCTGGGGGTACTACGCCTGGAGGTGCTGAGCCTGGGGGTGCGGAGCTTGAGGGAGCTGGGCCTGCTCGTGTGGCGTCCGGTGGTGCTGTGCCTGGAGGTTCTCCGGGTGCTTCGTCTAGGCGGGAGCCACTCTCTCCACAGGAGCTGCGCGAGTGATTTGCTCGGCGTTGGAGCCGTACTGCTGGAGCTGGAGGTGCTGCTGGTGCTAGAGGTTCTACTGCTGCCGAGGGTGCTGGCGCCACGGGTCCCGCAGGTGCTCGTACTGGAGGTACTGGAGCTACAGGGCCTGAGGGTACTACTTATGCTGGAGCTGGAGCTGGAGCTGCTGGGGGTGTTGGCGCTGGAGGTGCTGCTGGTGCTGGTGCTTTCGAGGGTGCTGGTGCTGGTGCTGCTGGCGCGGCTGGAGCTGGGGGTGCTACTGGAGCTGGAGCTGCTGGCGCTACTGGAGCTGGGGGAGCTACTGGCGCTGGTGCTGCCGTTCGTGGTGCTGGCGCTGTTCCTGCTGGTTATGGGGGTAGTGCACGGCCACGGCCGTACTTCGTTCCGCTCCTTGAGCAGGTTCTTGGTCTCCCGCCTTCTACCGGTCCTCCTCCTCCCTTAAAGTGTCCACAGCCTATCCAGTCACAGTTACAGTTACAGCCAACCTCCCCACTGCCTGCTCCTTTCCCTACACTGGTCCTACTGGAGGTCTTGCTGAGCGTCGTGAGCCTGCGTCTTGCCCTGCGTCGCCTGTCCGTGCTGCTCGCGTTAGTGGTCGTGGTTCGCGTCAGCGTCCTCCTCCTGTCCCTGGCACGCACCGGATGTCTCTGCGTCCGTCCACTGCTCCACTGCGTGCCCCTTTGCCTTCTCCTCCTGAGTCCTCTCTTCCTGCTCTTCCCGACCCGGAGTCGGACTCTCTTCGTGCTGCCAGTCCTACTGTCACGCGTCTCCTTGCTACTGTTGTCACTGACCCCTCCTTTGAGTCCACTGCTGCGTCTGCCCTAGTTGCTGAGCTCGTCGACTTGGCTGCTCGCTGTCGTCTAGACTACGCTGCTAGTCTTGTTACTGAGTCTGAGTCTGTCTGTCCTCCGTCCGTCGGGGGTGAGTGTGCCCTTGGTACGGACGTTCTTGAGGACAGGCAGGAGGAGTTCCAGTGTTTGGCTGCTGCTTCACCTCATCTCGTGTCCGTACTGCTTACCCCTGAGGGAAACCCGGATGCACTTGACATCCCGACTCCGCGCTCTTACGCGGAGGCGATAGAGGGTCCCTACTCCTCTCAATGGCAGGCAGCTATGGACGCAGAGATGGCTTCCTGGAAGTCCACAGGCACCTACGTTGACGAGGTTCCCCCGCCTGGGGCGAACATCGTCAGTGGCATGTGGATCTTCAGGGTAAAGCGGCCGCCGGGTTCTCCGCCTGTCTTCAAGGCGCGTTACGTGGCTCGTGGCTTCAGTCAGCGGCAAGGAGTTGACTCGTTTCAGACCTTCTCTCCCACCCCGAAGATGACCACTCTTCGGGTGCTGCTGCACATAGCCGCTCAGCGCGACTACGAGCTGCACTCTCTTGACTTCAGCACTGCTTTCTTGCAGGGCAGCCTGCACGAGGAGATCTGGCTGCGTCGCCCACCTGGCTTCACTGGGTCTTTTCCTCCTGGCACCCAGTGGAGCCTCCGGCGGCCAGTCTACGGTCTCCGCCAGGCACCGCGTGAGTGGCACGACACACTGAGGACTACACTTGCGGCTCTTGGGTTTGCTCCCTCTACTGCCGACCCGTCACTGTTTCTGCGCACCGACACTTCTTTGCCGCCGTTCTACATCCTCGTGTACGTCGACGACTTGGTCTTTGCCACAACTGACACTGCTGGACTCGCCCACGTGAAGTCCGAGCTGCAGAAGAGACACACGTGCACAGACCTGGGTGAACTGCGCAGCTACCTTGGCTTGCAGATCACCCGGGATAGAGCACGCCGCACCATTACCCTGACTCAGTCACACATGGTGCAGCAGGTCCTTCAGCGCTTCGGCTTCACGTACTCCTCGCCTCAGGCCACTCCTCTGCCTACTCGCCACTCGCTCTCTGCTCTGCCTTCGGATGAGTCCGTAGAGTCGAGTGGCCCGTACCCAGAGCTTGTTGGCTTGCTCATGTACCTGATGACCTGCACACGACCTGACCTTGCATACCCTCTTAGCATTCTCGCACGCTATGTTGCTCATGGGAGACACAGACCGGAGCACATGGCTGCAGCGAAGAGGGTGTTGCGCTACTTGTGCAGTACGTCGGGCATGGGGCTTGTGCTTGGAGGGGAGAGTCCAGTGGTCCTCACTGGGCACGCAGACGCTTCTTGGGCTGACGACCAGGCTACGCAGCGGTCGTCACAGGGTTACACCTTCAGCCTTGGTTCTGGCTCTGTTTCGTGGCAGGCTACCCGCTCGTCCTCTGTTCTCGGCTTCAGTTGTGAGGCTGAGATCTACGCAGGGGCCATGGCTGCATAGGAGCTTTGCTAGCTCACCTACCTGCTAACTGACCTCGGAGAGCCGCCTCGTTCTCCTCCAGTGCTGTACGTAGACAACAAGGCCATGCTGGCCTTGTGTCAGGAGCAGAGACTGGAGCACAGAACGAAGCACATTGCTCTTCGCTACTTCCTTGCTCGTGAGCTACAGGAGCGTGGTCAGCTGCGCCTTGCGTACGTGGCCTCTGAGGCCAACACTGCTGATATCTTCACCAAGGCACTTGCGCCTTGTGATCATCAGCGCTTCTGTACTCAGCTGGGTCTTGTGCCTGCCTTGCCTCACTTGCTCACCCTTTGACCTTGCTTGTACTGTTACATATATATATACACCTGCTCTTGCTTTTCTAGCCTTATATATATATGTAATCCTGCATGTGAACTGGCCTTGTGGCCTTTGAACTTGTGCTCGGAATGTGTGGTGACTTTGTGATCCACCTTGAGCTTGCTTTGCTTTGCTTGACTGGTCTTGTGACCCCTTGTTCTCCCCCACTTTGCCTATGGGGGTGTGTCAGATTTATATGACATAGCTGCTGTAGGCTATAGTGGGGTAGCACATATGGGGTACAGCTTTCTAGGGTTTGTACTTGTACCCAACTTTCCCTTAGTCATTTCATTCTCGTTCAATTTCACACAGAGTCCGAGAAAATAGATCTCGAGAGCCCAGACAAAGTTGGCAGTTATTTGGGCGACGACGCGTAACTCTCGTGGGAATCGGTGGAAGACTCCGAGCAGCATCTGCACGGACCCCGTGTTACCGGGTGGAGGATTATCCGCTACCTCGAGTACTTGTTCAATGAAACACCTTAACAAGCGCGTGCCCTCAAGGGAGATGCGCCTGTCGTTGCAGGCAGGCAGCCAAAGCCCAGCACTCCAAAGATGATTAAGGCGAAGATGAACACTATCGGCTGCCTCGGCAGATGCGAGTCAGCAATGTACCACTACCCCCTTACCAAGATGCAAGACAAAGTCGCGCAGGGCAGGGCGTTTATGAGAGTGAAGCTGGTCAACCTCAACGAGGAGCAGATTCGGTGAGCAATTTGTTGTGGTAGATGTGAAGCACATTCCACTCACCTTTCACTTCATAACTGAAAGCTCCAACGAGTCGTAGAAGATCATCGTCGTACTGTATCATTGCTTAGCGTATAACGCCCACCCACTGACTGTGCAGAACCGGCGCGGATCAGCACCGTGGGTCTCTCGACGATTGCTACAACGTGGATCAGTACAAGGAGCTGCATCACAACATTCTTCCTGAAGAGACTTTTAACATCTACGCGCGGAGCAAGGATTTTCCATCACAGGCGCTGTGGAGGATTCTCGCTGTGAAGGTCATGATTCAGCTGGCGCACCAGGTCCTGGGAAGGGGGGTCTCTATTAGAAAAATCCGATTCGCCAACATGTTCATCTGCATGTGCCGCAGCAGCACCCACGTAAAAGGGAAGATGGACCTTCCTGTGCTCGTCATCGCCTCGAGGAAAACAAAGACCAAACTTTCCAAAAACCTTACACATCAGTATCTGGCGAGGCACATCGACTGGCAGCTCTGCGGCGATGGCGGGGTTTTCTTGTGGATTCATTGGCTCTACAATCTCGTCCCAATTAGATACGGAAAAGGAGTTGTACCTCGTCTCAACTTTCGGAAGCCGCGTAAGTGGACCAAGAAGCACCTGTTCTTTGGCATAAGGAAGCCGAATGACCCTGGTCCGCAGCCGCAAAACGAGATGAAGTACGAGACTCACAACAACTGGATCCGCTGGGTCATGAAACAGGCAAAGTGGATGTTCAGCAAGGTGACCCACATTTTCAGACGATCGGGGGCGCAGGGGCTGAGCGACGACCATTGCTCCGATGCAGACATTGGCGCTCTGGGTGGGTGGGAGCAGGGAGAGATGCGGAAGGCGTACATTATTGGAATTCCTTTTCATCCGATGCTTATGATGGCTTGATTCACCGGAGCTCAGGGAGATTACTACATCGGCAGAGCACACGCTGTTCTCCCAGACAAAGAGGAGTGGAAAAAGCTGAAGAAGCTTTTCAGAAAGCACATCTTCCCCTGGTCCGAGAAGCAGTAGAAAAAGGTAAACTCGTAGGTTTGGGTTCACCTTTTTGGAGCAGATGAGGTATTCGATCTATGCATCTCTTCGACTTTCCAACCGTCCCTTACCACCAGGTCGACAAGTACAACCGTCCGAGGACCCCCTACAAGTAGCATCACTCTGGGAGGAGGTTTTTGGAGTGCCTCATCAACTGCGGTCGGGATGTGGTCGCGCAAGACCTTGCAACGATGTGGATCCACTGTCGCGAGCACGAGTTCGACCCAAATGAAACACGATGCATCTGCACGTGACACCCATATGTGCAGATAAGCCGTCTCTGCAAGGAGCCCTTGTTTCAAAAGTGGGCCAAAATTGTTGCAACCATGGAGAAAAACGGCCACGACATGAGGGAGAACGCGGGACAGTCGATGGAGGCAGTAAGTGTCTTTTTCTCCGCTGATTAGGCTTGTTAATGCGAGTATTCTCATCGACTAACATGTTTCCGTTTCGCAGAATGCTGTTTTCCGTATCGAGGGCGAGCACAAGAAAGCGAAGCTCCTCGCAGAGAATCATTGCTTGCGGAAGCAGAATGGGCTGAAGGACGTCCGCAACGCCGAGCTTCAGGCCCAAGTGCGTGACCTGCAGAGCGACAACAAGAGTCTCCTGGAGCAGCTGGCGCAGCTCAAGGCCGAGTTGGCCGCTCTCATGGTTTCTTCTGCGGGCAACGTTGGCGCCGACAAGTCTGCCGCAAGAGTTGCGGGCTCCTCGAAGATGGAGAAAGGTGGAGCTGGCCCATCAACCCCAGAGCCAGCTGCACCTACACCAGATATTGTCTACTTCGACAGTGTAGTGAGGCCGTGGCGTGACAGCACAACAGTGGCAGATGCATGGGCGCCGTGGAACAAGACTAGCTTCCTTGTGGAAGGCCAAACACTGCGTGCTGTTGCAGAGAACGCAGGATTTATCGTTAAATGGGCACATTTCAAGAGGGGTGAGGAAATCGAGGAAGACAAAGGCAAGTTCAAACCCACCGTGCGTCTGGGTGCCAAGGATGGCACATGTGAAAAGCAGCTGCGTCGCATCCACAAAGCTATGTTAGCGGTGGAAAAGTTCAGGGTGGATGACTCGGTGGAGGCGACGACCGAGGCGGTGAACGTGCTCGATGAGGTGCTGTTCTAGACTTGTCCCACTACGTTCGCAGATGGGCTTATCGTCAAGAATAGGAGGGGCGCGAAGAGGCAGCGAACATCGACGGCTGGGGGGGAAAGCCTGACGGACGATGCGCAAGAGAGGGTTTCGTATCTCCTCATGTTTTATGGTCTGCGCAATGGGGGGAAGAGCTCTTCGGCAAAGACCAGTGGAAGACGATCAAGGACGAAGAGTCTAAAAAGCTTTTGAAGGAAAGGCCTAGCGCGTGAACTGGGTCGTAGAAGCAGGGGATTCTGGAGGTGGTGCGTTAAGTATGTGTAGGGGGGTTGCGTTTGCCACATGCATAGAGAAACGTTTTTAAACTCTACGCGCAAACTCGTAGGATTTTTATATGCCACGGTATATTCCGACGTGAAACCATTCAGAACAACATGGAGTAAGGAGGGGTGCTTTACTCACCATTGTCGATGTAGATGATGTGCATGTTCATTAAATGTTGGAACAATATGTTTTTTAGGTGATCCATGGTAGAGTTTGTCAGCCTAGCACAGCTTAGTCGAGAAACCGACCTCACAAACGTGCAAAATTTTACGAGGTTGCATCGGACTCACGGCAACTCTACGCGGTTTCGTCCACCATGGGGTTTCAATGTGCAGACAAATAGGTGTTTTCTTTATGGGACGGTAGATTGAGATTGTTAGGCATTTGAGAGGGTCATCACCATCGCGTGCCTCGTTAGAGAGCACTGTTTAAATCTGCAGGTATGGGTTTTGTGGAGCTTCATTGAATATTCGGGTGGCCGCGACCATTTCTACATTTTCAGAGGTTAAGTGTTCAACAGCCCAAATCTACGGGTTGACACTTTCATACTGAAAACACTTAGTTATCGCTCAGTAGACCACGTGCACTGGACAGAGCTTAGATGCGATGTTCGTCAAATTGTTCAACGGGGTACTGCACTTAGCAACGGTAGACGTATGGAAGACACTTAGTTCTCATTATCGTGCAGATCAACAATTGCACTCTCTAACTACATATCACCCATCAATCACTCATCCCCCTTCTCCCCCTTCTGCCTCGGCCCACGTCGCGTAGCCAGAATGGAAAGCGTTGCGCCCTGGTGGCGAGCCAGTCCCCTCGAAGCGAAGCCACACAGACACCAGTAGACCGTGACCCGAGCTACCACCTTGGCGAGATTAGTCACATCTACTTCGTCCTTGGGTCGATTTAGGATCTCGACAAATTTTCCCTCCAAGAGAGGCGGCCATTCCTTCTTTCTGAGTTGTCTGTCTGAGACTTGTTTCACTGCAACCACGCCGATTCGAGCCGCTTCTGCCGCATGCTTCTGTCAGTAGATCTGTGAAGTAAAGAAAACAGGAATGAAATGACTAAGGAAAGATTGGGTACAAATACAACCCTAGAAAACCTGTACCCCATATGTGCTACCCCACTATAGCCTACAGCAACTATGTCATATAAATCTGACACACCCCCATAGGCAAAGTGGGGGAGAACAAGGGGTCACAAGACCAGTCAAGCAAAGCAAAGCAAGCTCAGGGTGGATCACAAAGTCACCACACAGTCCGAGCACAAGAGTAGGGCCAGAGGCCAGTTCACATGCAGGAGTACAGACATATATATAAAACTAGACAAGCAAGAGCAGGCATATATATATGTCACAGTACAAGTGAAGTCAAGAGGAGAGCAAGTGAGGCAAGACAGGCACAAGACCCAGCTGGGTGCAAAAGCGCTGATGGTCACAAGGCGCGAGTGCCTTGGTGAACACATCAGCAGTGTTGGCCTCAGAGGCCACGTACGCAAGTCGCAACTGACCACGCTGCTGCAGCTCACGAGCAAAGAAGTAGCGGAGAGCAATGTGCTTCGTTCTGTGCTCCAAGCGCTGCTCTCGACACAAGGCCAGCATGGCCTTGTTGTCTACGTACAGCACTGGAGGAGAACGAGGCGGCTCTCCAAGGTCAGTCAGCAGGTAGGTGAGCCAGCGAAGCTCCTGTGCAGCCATGGCCCCGGCGTAGATCTCAGCCTCACAACTGGAGCCGAGAACCGAAGACGAGCGAGTAGACCGCCACGAGACAGAGCCGGAACCAAGGCTGAAGGTGTAACCCTGTGACGACCGCTGCGTAGCCTGGTGGCCAGCCCAAGAAGCGTCCGCGTGGCCGGTAAGGACCACTGGACTCCGCCCTCCAAGCACTAGCCCCATGCCCGACGTACTGCACAGGTAGCGCAATACCCTCTTCGCTGCAGCCATGTGCTCCGGTCTGTGTCTCCCAGGAGCAACATAGCGTGCAAGAATGCTCAGAGGGTATGCAAGGTCAGGTCGTGTGCAGGTCATCAGGTACATGAGGCAGCCAACAAGCTCTGCATACGGACCACTCGACTCTACGGACTCATCCGAAGGCAGAGCTGAGAGTGAGTGGCGAGTAGGCAGAGGAGTGGCCTGAGGCGAGGAGTACGTGAAGCCGAAGCGCTGAAGGACCTGCTGCACCATGTGTGACTGAGTCAAGGTAATGGTGCGGCGTGCTCTGTCCCGAGTGATCTGCAAGCCAAGGTAGCTGCGCAGTTCACCCAGGTCTGTGCACGTGTGTCTCTTCAGCAGCTCGGACTTCACGTAGGCGAGTCCAGCAGTGTCCGCTGTGGCAAAGACCAAGTCGTCGACGTACACGAGGATGTAGAACGGCGGCAGGGAAGTGTCGGTGCGAAGAAACAGCGACGGGTCAGCAGTAGAAGGAGCAAACCCAAGAGCCGCAAGCGTAGTCCTCAGTGTGTCGTGCCACTCACGCGGTGCCTGGCGGAGACCGTAGACTGGCCGTCGGAGGCTCCACTGGGTGCCAGGAGGGAAAGTCCCAGTGAAGCCAGGTGGACGGCGAAGCCAGATCTCCTCGTGCAGGCTACCCTGCAAGAACGCAGTGCTGAAGTCGAGAGAGTGAAGCTCGTAGTCGCGCTGAGCGGCTATGTGCAGCAGCACCCGAAGAGTAGTCATCTTCGGGGTGGGAGAGAAGGTCTGAAAGTAGTCAACTCCCTGCCGCTGACTGAAGCCACGAGCAACGTACCGTGCCTTGAAGACAGGTGGAGAGCCCGGCGGCCGCTTCACCCTGAAGATCCACATGCCACTGACGATGTTTGCCCCAGGAGGGGGAACCGCGTCAACGTAGGTGCCTGTGGACTTCCAGGAAGCCATCTCTGCATCCATAGCTGCCTGCCACTGAGAGGAGTAGGGACCCTCTACGGCCTCCGCGTAAGAACGCGGAGTCGGGATGTCTAGTGCATCCGGGTCTCCCTCAGGGGCAAGCAGTACAGATGCGAGATGAGGTGAAGCAGCCGCTAGACACTGTAACTCCTCCTGCCTGTCCTCTAGGACGTCCGTGCCAAGAGCACACTCACCCTCGACGGACGGAGGACAGACAGACGCAGACTCAGCAACAAGACTAGCAGCGTAGTCGAGACGACAGCGAGCAGCAAAGTCGACGAGCTCAGCGACTAGAGCAGACGCAGCAGTGGACTCAAAAGAGGGGTCAGTGACGACAGTAGCAAGCAGACGCGTGACAGTAGGACTGGCAGTACGAAGAGAGTCCGACTCAGGGTCGGCAAGCGCAGGAAGAGAGGACTCAGGAGGAGAAGGCAAAGGGGCACGCAGAGGAGCAGTGGACGGACGTAAAGACATCCGGTGCGTGCCAGGGACAGGAGGAGGACGCTGACGCGAACTGCGACCACTAGCGCGAGCAGCACGAACAGGCGACGCGGGACGAGACGCAGGCTCACGACGCTCAGCAAGACCTCCAGTAGGACCACTGTAAGGAGAGGGAGCAGGCAGTGGAGAGGAAGGCTCCAGCAGGGACTGCGACTGGACAGGCGGTGGACCCTCTACTGGAGGAGAAAGACCAAGAACCTGCTGCAGGAGCGGAACGAAGTACGGCCGAGGCCGCGCGGCAGCTCCAGACTCAGCAGGGACAGCACCAGCACCCTCAGCGACAGCACCAGCGCCACCCACACCTCCAGCGGCAGGACCAACAGCAGTAGGCTCAGCACCAACGCCCTCAGCAGCTCCAGCTCCAGGAGGACCCGCAGGTCCAGCAGCTCCGGGACCGGCAGCACCCGCACCCTCGACCGTCGAAGAAGCTCCAGCCCCAGCTCCAGCAGCACCTCCAGACTCAGCAGCACGCCTCCAGCGGCGAGCGAACCACTCGCGCAGCTCCTGTGGAGAGAGGGGCTCCCGGCGAGACGCAGCAGCAGGAGAAACCCCAGGCTCAGCAGCTCCAGACGCAGCACCCCCAGGCGCAGCAGCTCCCAGCTCAGCACCCCCAGGCTCAGCAGCTCCCGACCCAGCACCCCCAGACCCAGCACCTCCAGGCACAGCACCCCCCGGCTCAGCACCCCCAGGCTCCGCACCCTCCGCAGTAGCACCCTCAGGCCCAGCACCCCCAGCAGTAGCACCCCCAGGCTCAGCACCCCCGCGCACAGCACCCCCAGAGTCAGCACCCCCAGGCTCAGCACCCGCAGCAGCACCAGAGTCACCAGTAACCTCGACCGGGTCAACGGCGTCTACCTGGGACACACCTGAGGGGGCAGGAACCTGAGGGGGGAGGGGGTCTACCGGGGGGGGAACCGGCACAAGGAAGTCCGGGGGAGGGGGGAGGGAAGGAGTGCGGTAGGGGAAGAGACGGTAGAAGGGGACTGACTCGTCGAACGTGACGTCCTGGGAGGACAGAACACGACGAGAGGAGGGGTGGTAAAACTGCCACCCTGGGGCGTCAGTGGGGAAGCCAAGGAAGACACAGGGAGCAGCGCGAGGGGACAGCTTGTCCGCAGACAAGTCACGGACAAACGCCCGAGATCCCCAGACACGGAACACAGACGCATCGCCAACCTTCCCCGTCCACAGCAAGGCTGGGGACATCGCAGGCCGAGAGACCCGGGGGTGAAGGTTGAGCTGATGCGCCGCGTACCTCACCGCAAACGGCCACAGAAAATGGGGGGCAGCCGCATGCATCATGGACGTACGAGCGACATCCATGACCATGCCAATGCGGCGCTCAGCAATCCCATTTTGCTGCGGTGAGTCCGGAAGCGTGAAGGTCTGGCGGATCCCCCGTGCACGACAGTAGTCTCGCAGAAGGCGAGAAGAGAACTCTCCGCCTCGGTCAGAGTGCAGACGCAGAACAGGAAAGTCCGAGCCGAAGCTCTTCCTGAGCTGGAGACGAGCCTCGCGGATCCAGTCGATCAGCACCTCAGTGACCGCACCCTTGCTGCGCAAGGGGAGGACTGTGGTGTAACGCGAGTAGTCGTCAACCACCAACAGGAAGTAGCGCTCGTAACCCTGCCCACGGACGGGGGCTGGGCCCCACACATCCATGTGAAGCGTCTGCAGGGGAGCCTCTGTCGGGGGGAAGTGGGAGGAGTGAGGAGTAGCTCGGAGGCGACCCTCGACACAGGGGACACAGGAAGGTCCTGGCCCGGAGGGGAGAGGAGGGAGAGACTGGGGAAGACCAGAGACAAGGACACGGGAAGCCATGCTCCGAAGACGGGGCAAGGAGGGGTGGCCAAGACGGTGGTGCCACAGGAGAGTCTCGTGAGACAGGAGGCGACAAGAACAGGGGGCAGACTCAGGACCTGACCGGGACGCAGCAGCAAGTACCTGACCCGACGCAGCCACCTGACCAGACGCAGGGACAGGAGGAGACTCAACGGTCAGGGTGTAGAGACTCGACCCCGGCCGACGCGAGAACGTGGCCAGGTGTCGGCCTGTGCGTGCCTCCGTGCAGTGGGTCACCCGCTGACTCGCAGGAGTGAACTGGTGAACACCCCCATCCTGCAGGTCTGCTCCACTCACCAAGTTCGTAGAGAACGAGGGAAGGTACAGACCCGACAGGGTGCCCGAAGGGGCAGCCGGACACGGGAGGACAGTGGAGAAGTGAGACAGGACAGGACCCCCAGAGGGGTCAGCAAGGGAGACCGCAACTGGCCGGCCAAGCGGCGTAAGGGTAGTGCGGTCTCGAAAGAAGGAGCGAGAAGCTCCGGAGTCAAGTGTGAAAGTGAGGGAGGACGAGGACGACTCAGTACCTGAGAGCGCAGTCTCACCAGTACCTGAGAGCGCAGACGCACTGGCACCTAGAGCAGCAGCCTCACAAGCACCTAGCGCAGCAGGACCAATGCCCGGGTCGGGCTGGAAACAGCGGTAACCCTCATTCTCCTCACTATAATCCACAACATACATAGCAGTAAGGATAGCATCAAAATCAAGATCAAAGATCGCTACACCAGCCCTGAGAAGCTCATCCCAGCGAGGGATCTCACTAGCCCCAGGGAACTGCTGACGCCAGGCGTCCGTCAGGCGGCCAAAGCAGCGCTGGGTCGCGTGGGCACCCCCACACTGCTCACCCGCGCGGTCGCCGGAACGAAGAACGTAGGTGCAGGGACCAGTACCCCCACCCCTCTGACGCCCAGCGTACCACTCACAAAGCTGCTGAGGCGAAGGGATGTCCCGAGAGCGCTGCTGCTGCTGCCGCTGCGAGCGCTGGCCACCACCACCGCCGCTACGCTGCTGGGTACCACCCCGACCAGATCCACCCCCTCCACCACCACTGCCTCCTCCGCTGCCGCCACCACCGCTGGCACCACCACCACCGTCTCCGCCGCTGCTGCCACCACCACCACCACCCCCGCCACTAGTCCCGCCGCCACCCCCACTCCCTCCGCCGCCACCGCCGCCACCGCCACCGCCCCCTCCAGCTCCACCCGCGCCCTTACCCCCCTTGCCCTTGCTGGAGCGACGTCTCCCACTAGGGGCAGACGCCGCGCCGACCGACTCTAGACCAAGCAGGTCGGCAGCAGCAGCAGAGGCAACAGAGGGCAGCAAGGGGGGAGGAGAGCACCCCTCAAAGATGGGGGTGCGAGGGTCACCACGAGAAGCACCTACAGCGACTATGCTCTTCTCCGCTGCGAGGAGGGCCTTCTCGAGGAGGTCGACGGTGAGGGTGGTGGGACAGACTGCGAGAAAGTGGTCCCTGACGACGCGAAGGGAGTCAGGGAGGCGCGCGACTACGTAGTAGAGAGCGATGTACATGGGGGGGGGGTTCTTAGCGCAGAACTCAGCAGGAAGGGCGGCGCGGTAGCGAGTGTCACTAGTGCGGAGGTGCGTAATGAGGTCAGCGACAGTGGGAAAGGCAGAGAGGTCAGGAAAGAGGTAGGGAAGCATGAGACGGCTCAGTGCAGCAGTGGCAGGGGAGGAGTAGCGCGCAACTACAGCGTCGTACAAGGTCTGAGCACTCTTGTACTGACTGAAGTGCGCACGCTCAGAGGTAGGGAGGTGGCGACGCACAGCAAGACGTGCAGCAGCATCGCGGGTGGCCCACTTAGAGCGGACAGCGGGATCAGCATCAGCAGCAGGAGCAGGAGAGGCGCCAGAGGTGAGATCAAAGAGAGAAAGGTCGTCAGCCCTGTCGCACTGTAAGAACAGCTGCAGGTCGTCTAACCAGACCTCAAAATCAATGGCGCGACCCTCAGCGTCAAAAGCTAGGACACTAGGGGTAGCCATGGCGACGACAGCGACGCAGTGCTAGCAGCAGGGAAAGAGCTCGCAGTGTCAGTGGGACTGTGCTCACCAGGCAGGGCAGGTCGTGTAGGTATGCAGAAAGGCGGCTCGGGTGCTGGGCGGCTCGGCTGCTGGGCGGCTCGGGCGCAGGGCGGCTCGGCTCCCGGGCTGCTCGGCGGCTGGGCGGCTCGGGTGCAGGGCGGCTCGGCTCCCGGGCGGCTCGGCGGCAGGGCGGCTCGGGTCCCGGGCGGCTCGGCGTCGGGCGGCTCGGCTCACGGGCGGTTCGGCTGCTGAGGCGGCTCGGCCAGGAGATGCAGGGGTGGGGCCGTCAGGTGCAGCGGCGGGTTGACCGGTGCAGTGGCGGGCCGGCAGGTGCAGAGGCGGGCTGGCAGGTGCAGTGGCGGGCCGGCAGGTGCAGCGACGGGCCGTAGGGTGCAGTGGCGGGCCGTAGGGTGCAGCGGCGGGCCGGCAGGTGCAGCAGCGAGGCCGGCAGGTGCAGCGGCAAGGCCGGCAGGTGCAGTGGCGGGCCGGCAGGTGCAGCGGCGGGCCGTAGGGTGCAGTGGCGGGCCGGCAGGTGCAGCGGCAGGCCGGCAGGTGCAGTGGCGGGCCGGCAGGAGAGGCGGCAGGGCCGCGTCAGGGGAGGCGGCAGGGCCGCGTCAGGGGAGGCGGGGGAGCCGCGTCAGGGGAGGCGGCGGTGCCGCGTCAGGGGAGGCGGGGGAGCCGCGTCAGGGGAGGTGGCAGGGCCGCGTCAGGGGAGGCGGCGGGGCCGCGTCAGACAGGCGGCGGGGCCGCGTCAGGAGAGGCGGCTGAGCCGCGTCAGGGGAGGCGGCGAGGCCGCGTCAGGGGAGGCGGCGGAGCCGCGTCAGGGTAGGCGGCGAGGCCGCGTCAAACAGGCGGCGGGGCCGCGATCAGGAGAGGTGGCGGGGCCGCGTCTGAGGGACAGCGGGGCCGCGAGGGAAAAGGCGACCCGAGGGGGTCGCTAAAAAAAAAAGGCGCGCCTCGGGGCGCGCTTCGGTGGGCCCTAAAAAAAACGGTCCTAAGGTAGGACCCGCTCTATACCATGTGAAGTAAAGAAAACAGGAATGAAATGACTAAGGAAAGATTGGGTACAAATACAACCCTAGAAAACCTGTACCCCATATGTGCTACCCCACTATAGCCTACAGCAACTATGTCATATAAATCTGACAAGATCTGCACTGTGGATGCCCGATTGATCCTGGAGAGGGTTACAGGCGCGTTCGCCTCGGGGGTTATGGGCGCACTGACCCGCTACTGAAACAAGCCCTTTTATCCCAATGGTCTAGTGGTTGGGATTCTGACATGGTATCAGAGCGGTCTCGGGTTCGATTCCCGGTGTATGCACATGTAGGCCGGTGCCGCTGTGCTTAGTCCTGGGCCTCCCAGTGTGGGGGGGTGTCAGTAGATCTGCACTGTGGATGCCCGATTGATCCAGGAGAGGGTTACAGGCGCGTTCGCCTGGGGGGTTATGGGCGCACTGACCCGCTACTGAAACAAGCCCTTTTATCCCAATGGTCTAGTGGTTGGGATTCTGACAGCTTCGACAGCTCCTCGTCGTTGACGATGCAGCTCGCGACGATCATAGTGCCGGTTTTGGAGTCTTCTTCTGGAGTACCAATCGAGGCTCCCCATAAGGTGTACAGCGCGGATGCTACGCCAGCAGCGTACACTGCAGGAGGGACTCTGTCTGGGGCCGGTTCCACACCCGTGCAGCCAAGCAGCATTGCCAAGCCTATTCCTTCGTAGAGACCAGTCTGCAGATCCACACCCTTTGCCAGACGCTCGTTTGTTTTCTTCAAGACGGCATCGAAACTGTTGGGAGGGCAGTATCAACAAGCAACGTTTTGTGAGCACGCCGTAACCTCCAACCATGCATTGCAACATACGTCACTCACTTCTCAATGCGGGAAATGTGCAGCTCGTTCAGAACGCTCCAGACCCTAGTCGGCAACTGCTTGGCGAGGTTCAGATGGGCCGACCACGCTTGGACATCCTCCTTATCCATGCCGTAGGCGATGGGGTCCGCATCTGGAGTGTATGCCATCCAGCAGATGGCGATGCTGTAGTTCCTATTCCGCTCGCTGTCAAATTTTCCCAGATTTCTTTTGCACCCTCCAACTGTCTGCTCGGAACAGTACTTGGTTTCCGCTGTTGCCTTCTTCCTCTTGAAAAACCCGCCTGCTCTGTACGGCTTATCTTCCCCGTACACTTTACCCAGACCGTCTGCTACCTCACAAACCTTCCCTCTCTTGCCCTCTCCTTCGGTCCCATCCCCATCACTAGCAATCCCTTCATCTGCGCCCGTTTGCGACCCGCTATGTTCCGAAAGAACATCTCTCTGCCTTTTTCTGCAACGATCCCCATCTCAGTGTTCCGACTTTTGACGAAGCTGGACACAACCCGAAGTTCCCACATCCGATTTGTCTCCACCCTGTTCCAGTTTCTGTCCCATCTTCAGTCTGAGTCGTTCAGCAGCTATTCGCGCCCTCTCCGACTCCAGAACCCTCCTATGCTCCTCAACCCGCACCATCTCCTTCTCTTCTTCGATTGCCAAACGCTTCTCTTCCGCTTCCATTTTATCCAAATGAGCGTCCAATTCTGCACGCTTTATGTCCGCCACATGCTCATCCACCCTCGCTGCCACCTTGCTGTTTGAAGTCTCGCCTTGAATCTCTACAACCACGTCGTTTTTCACTTCCCCTACCTCGCATTGCACGTCCACTCCATAGTCTTCTGCACCACCCTTGCTCCTCCCCAAACCTGTCAACTCCATGGGATCCCCCTGTGCCATCTTCTCCCTCTCGTCCTCCTTGTCTTGGCCGACCTCTGTTACTTGCTGATGGTTATCTACTTTCTCACTCCCTTTACGAAGACGCTCATCTACCACTTCCACCTCCACCGAAACCCCCAGGGGCGCGCCATGGGTGGCAGTATGCTGCAAGGGCGTGGAAGGAGCGGCATCTGCATTTGAAGGCGCCAACGAAACTACAGCGGGTGCGCCTGCAGGCGACTGCGGCATGCCTGCCCTTGCAATTTCCACCCGGGGCTTCACGTGCACAGCGGCCAGTATCTCTTCCTTCAGCGACTTTTCAAACTGGCGCTGTTTCGCCTCTGTATCTTCACGATGCTTCTGTAACGCGCGTGTTATCGCCTCCTCCACATACTGTTTTATAATCGGCTTCAAAGACTGGTGAAGCGCCTCACAATCGATTCCGTAGTTGACACCACTCTCTCGCACCACATCGGCCATCCGTACATTTCCCGGCTCTCCGCTCGTTCTCTCTTCGTCTACATGGTGCGTCGGATTTTTTGCAGGGGATTCTTCGCCATCAGCGCGCACCCTATCCGGCATTTTAACCTTGTTCTCTGCCTTCTGCTGCGCAAGCAAACCCTCTTCCCTCTGCTTCTCCGGTAACCTGTCGATGCGCAAGGTCCGGTGATGCGCCCGACGATCGATACCGACCCTCCCACCCTGTCGTTCCACAGCTGCACTCGCCGCCTGTGCTGTCTCTACCCCTGCACGCTCGTCCAGACCATGCTGTTCCTGTTTGGGCGCATCCGCTTCTCCAACCGTTTTGCGGCCTCCTCCCAGCCCCAGAGCGCCACCTTGGCTGTCTGCCTTTTGTCGCCAGGCCTCCTCCCCTATCCGCACTTCCTCCCCTCCCCTCCCAGTGGCAGTTCGCCTCTACACCCTCAGTCGTTCTGCTTCGCGAAGTTTGTCTGTCATTGATATGTTAGATTCCGAACAGAGCATCTCTTCCGACGCCGACTCTTTAGACCATCCTTGCTGCCTCATCCTCGTCCTCGGCTTCGTTGCCAGCACATGTAAATCAACCTCACCTTGCAAATCCTCGCCCTGTCCCGCCCTATCCCCTGGTCCTTCCCCTACTCGTTCCTCGACCTGCTCTTCACCCGTCGCAATCTCTTGTACGTCATCGGTGTCATCGTCATCGTCCAACTCAACCACGTCCTCTCCATTTTCCGCTCGGGGATCGAAATGCTCCTCGCAGAGTTCGAGGAGCCACGCGTGTATTTCCTCCTTCGAGTATGTCCCTTTGCCAAGTCCAGGAAAGGTGCCACCGCTCCGTACTTGCATCACATGCGGCCATTTGTCGAGTATCTTTCCCAAGATATAAGACACGAGAAAGCCTGACCCCACTTGCTTGCTCCTCAGATTGGTGGTTGTCTGCCATTATTGAAACATTTAACGTCAGAAACTAATTTCAACCATGTATGGCAGCATGCATCTGCAGAATGTTACTCACCACGCTGCGATCAATGGTCAACCTCGCCTCTCGCGCAACGTACGTAACACCTCCGTCTCGTCATCGTCGAGGTGGCTGTTGTTGTGGGTGTATTCCACCACAAATTGCTCCTTCAGCCATTTAAACACATAAACATTTTTTGCTTGAATGGTTGGTCTACAGTTGAAGCGAACACCTACTCTTGATTTAAACTCACCCTAGTACTTCACTGGCAAAAGCCGAATGCGTGTGGGTTGCCACTGCTGACTTAGGATCGTAATGTATAACACGCCTGCGATAGATTGGATGGCGGATCCTTATCAGATCATCGGGATGCAGGACAAGCATAAGGCTGATGAGCGCGTGAGGTTCGAAGTCCACCCTGCAACGATTGTCGAGGAAATTTCGTCAGTGATTGTACATCACGGAAAATTATACAATCAGACTTAATTGAGAGCATCAGGCTCCCAACCACCCCATCCGTACCTCGACTAGAGCGGGATAACGATGGCCTCTTTGCCAAGAAGGCCTCTGTCCCTGCTTTCCTTACTAATGGGCTGCCTCGGTTGTAACGCCATCCTCGCTCTCACACATGTTGCTGGCAGGACGCGTATCTTCATTCGATCCTTTCGCCCGAGCGTAGACTGTATCAATTGTCTGCGCGGGGTGTCAGAGGTCCACTGGTAATCCCCGATTGATCCTAGGGAAGGGTTACAGGCACGGTTGCCAGGGGGGTTATGGGCGCACTGACCCGCTACCTAAACAAGCCCTTTTATCCCAGTGGTCTAGTGGCTGGGATTCTAAGATGGTATCCAGAGCGAAGGTCTCGGGTTCGAATCCCGGTGTGTGCACTTCGGGCATCCCAGTGAGGGGTGGTGTCAGAGGTCCACTGGTGATCCCCGATTGATCCTAGGGAGGGGTTACAGGTACGGTTGCCTGGGGGGTTATGGGCGCACTTACCCGCTACTTAAATAAGCCCTTTTATCCCAGTGGTCTAGTGGCTGGGATTCTGAGACGGGGTTGTTTACAATCGCAACAACAGAGACATTTCAGGATTGAGAAGCAGCCGTCTTAAAATTCTCTAAGATGCAGTTGACATTAGCGGATCAAAGATGGTTTCATATATTTGCCAGATTAAACTTACAGGGCCGCGAAATTCAACATGTTCTCGTTCCACTCTTCATGGCGTGAATTGAAAGCCTCGTATGACGCTTGTGATATACGTGGGGCAATTCCGCATCATTTGATGACTAACGGCGTCTCCATGGAACTCGCTACTTTGAAGAGCATCTCAGGTCGTCTATGCACTGACTACTTTATCCGTACGACAAAATCGGGAGCGTCTAGAATACGCGGGTGCAATCTAGCGTGGTGGTTTTGAGAAACTAGCTACCTTAGCAAGTGTGATGCTGGGGAACAATGCATATGTCCGAGAAAGACTGGCAGAAAAAAAAGCCTGAGTCGGGTGGGTATGCAGGGTCGAAGACCTCTGCGCGGCAAAGGATTTGCACTTAAGGGAATTGGCAGAAGGTAGTGTTGTGCCAGAGGTCTCCAACATCGGGCTTCCGAGGCGCGATTATTTTCTAGCGGATTGACACCTGTCAATCTCAACATCTTGCACTGACAGGTTAACGATTTCGGGTTGCGGCTGCTCGACGGGAAATTAGCCACGTGTCGTTCTGCGGTGTATTATAATCCTGTTTCGTTATCCTCATAGCAACGTCTAAGCTTCTGTGATTTGACAATTGAGAGAATCGCATGCGTGATGCAATTGGTGGGAGAGAGCGACTTTGCCTACTCATTGGTGGAGGAAAATCAAAGCTGCAGATGACACGTGTTGGTTGACAGTTGTGCGATTAACTCACATTGGAGTGTCTGAGATCGTGTTGGCACGCAGCGTAGATCAAATTATCCACGTCGGATTTATCGTCAATTGTCAATGGCAGTGGCACAGTGGCAGAGTGCGGCGCTCTACCCTATGCATGCGTGGTAATGAATCTTGCAATGTCAATGTCGCAACAACCTGACAGTTGTGCGAGTGGCATGCGTAATGTATAACGGCCACTATGGTCCAGCCCAGATAGGCAACGTCAGCGACGTTGCAGAGCTGTACTGGTCACTATTTCCCCCCGTTTGCCAAATTGGCATTGACAGGGACGTTTCGGGTAGACGCATGTGGTTTTCGAGTTTGGCATGGCGATTCTACATTTGCCACGTGTTGACACTCTGTTTCACGGGTGCGTCGATAGGTCTGACCAATGTTGATCAGATAGACATGAGAATGCATGGGATGGTGGCACTACACCGTAGTGTGACTATGTCTGCAACAAACAATCTTTGGAGAAAACAAGCAGGGATGATACATTAGCACGCCAACTTCCCAAATCTGGCGCAGATTGCGACTTTGCATCCATGATGTAATTCGGCGTAGATTAAAACTTTGCCCGATCATAGGTGGGGGTGAAGCAGAAATGAAGATGCCACGTGTTTCTTGACAAATGTCTTTTATTTCTCACATTCGCGTGTCTGCGGCAAGGGTAGCGCGCAGACGAGATCAAATGTATGCACATCAAATTGCAGGCCAGATGTCACGTCTGCATTGATGTTTTAGTCGGCGACATCTACAGTCGAGTGTCAAGAAGATCTGTCGGCGCGCAATACATGCTCGATCGCATTGGCGCGCAGCAACTTCTGAATGTTGCGCGTGAACTTGTACAATAATTACAGATTTCAATTCAGTAGGCACGCACCTTACTGCAGTTATGCACATTTTGACGCGTATCCTGAGTCATGCAGCCACATCTGCAGTCGAACCCTGATGCAAATATGCGGGCGCTCATGTCCGTTTTTGCTTATGTTGGCGCTCTGCAAATCCAGAATGACCACCTGATAACCCTTAACTTTCGGGCTGGCCCAGTTTGACACGTGGTCTCCCTCCCGAATTAGGAAGTGTTCGGTGTGTCAAAATTATATTTATTATAACTGCATGAAGTTCTAGCTGTAGTGTAGTTATTAAATTTGTAGGTGGTGCACCCCTTCATGTGTTCCTTTGCTATATGTATCTCGAATCCTATAGTGAAACCACATTCTCCAATTTCTCTCTCACAACTCACTCGACTCTCTCCCTAGGTGAAAACCCGCTCGATACCTAGTTAAGGGCCTAGGCTACTAAGCCTAGGCCCCTCACCTTTCAACTTAATCTACTTTAAGTTCGACATGGTATCAGAGCTGTTTTCGTCCTGGCCTGTGGGCCCGCGTTACTCTTCCGCTGCTGAGATTTTCCGGTCGCGCGCCTAGGGCGCGTGACGATTTTAGTTTTACTTTGTCCCGCCCACGGGCGTGTGACTCCTACCCTGCCCGTCGCGCGCCCCGTGGCACGCGACGGTGCCCTTTATCTGCCCATCGTGCGCCCCGTGGCACACGATGGTGCCCTGCTCGTCGTGTGCCCCGAGGCACACGATCGGGCCCTTTTATCCTACCCGTCGTGCGCCCCGTGGCACTGGCCCGCGACGGGCCTCTCCGCCCCTGCACTCCCTGCTGCCGCCCCCGACCCATCTGCACCGACGCCTCTTCGCCGCTCTGCGGCTTTCTTCCTTCCCACCCCCCCTTTTCTCTTGTCTCCCTGCAGCCGTGGGGAGGAGGGTATGGGGGTGGAGGGTGTTGGAGCGGTGGGTCAACTCTCTCCCTTCCCCTCCTCCTTCTTTCAGTCCCACCTCTGCAGCTGCTGCTGGGGGGGGAGGGTGTGAGGATGTGGGTGAGCAGGAGGAGTGGTACC